TTGAGGAATAATATTTTTTTATTGGGTAACATTTAAACATAATATGGAAGGTAAAAACAAGTGACGCTCTACTTCTAGACGATCATCACAGCTAGGTTGAACCTCAGTTGTGCGTAGATGATGGTGGGGTTTCTGGAGGCGCGGTGTTTTCTGTTGTTATTTTTTAGTGTTGGCCCGGTAAAAAAAAATAATGATGATAATCATAAAAAAAGAAAAAAAAGGAAAAGAAAAAAAAATATATAGACGAGAGATCTAAGGGGGAGGGGGGTAGGAAAGGTTATGGGATGCGTGAAAAGGAAGGAAAGAGGGCTCCTCCAGCTCCAATAAATATGGTAGGGGCCCGCCCGCTGGAATCTTCCCAGGTTTAGGGTCTTCTTGCGGGGATTCGACCCTGCGTGGTCCCACTGGAAGGACCTGCCCCAGCCTGTCATGGTTCTTCGCCGTGGCAACTAGCTGACCTGTCTCGGTATGCCATGGCGCCGTAACTGACAGACGGGTGTCAGAATGGAACACGGCGACTCTTGCCTAGACACAATCATGTACAAATTATAAAACAATATTTACAAGTGAGCAACTGCACCCCTAGGGGAGGGGGCCTGGCTCACCCAGGGGGCAGGGCGCAGCGTAAAGGCGACAGCGACTGCTCTTTAGAAGAATCCCTCGCCCAATGGGTCCCTTGTCCAGGGGTAATTGTTGGGGCACCGCATGCAGGTGGACAGGTGGAGGGTCTGGCCGGGGAGCTCGTCAGTGTCCAGCTCGCAGTTGTTGCCGCCGTAGCAGAAGGGTGGGCCGTCGACGACGCACTTCTCCTTCCAGGCCTCGTAGTTGTTCAACTGGCCGACGGGGCGGGGGTCCTGCATCCACTGGATGACCTGAGTCATGGTGACGAAGTAAACGTCCTTCTGGTTCTTCAGGGTCTCATCCAACCAGTAGAGGAAAGTGTCCAGGATGTCGGGGTTGTTCTTCAGGAAGGCAGAGTGGAAGAACAGACCGAAGGGAGCGCGGTTTGACTGGTAGTGGCGGTTGAAGTTGTTCTGCAGGAAGTTGTAGAACTGCTCGGGCTCGGGCTTGGTGGCGAAGCAGGAGTCAACCATGTGGCAACCAGGGAGGCCGTCCCCGTAGGTGGGCTCCTCGCGACGGTCCATCTCGTTCATGACCATCTCCCACACCGCGAAGGAGCGAGTGGGGCAGTTCTGGAGGTTTCCGTGGCAGGGGTGGGGCATGCGGTAGTACAGGGTGTAGGGCCACAGGGGCTTGGAGGACAGGGGGGCAGTGATGGTGGAGTCGTACAGGAAGGTATTCTTCTCCATCATCCTGAACTGGCTGTTGCCGCCCACACGGAGGAAGGGATTACGCATGCCGATGATGGACTGGTCGGTGATGTTGGCGAAGCGTTCGATGATGACGCGGGCACCACCCATTTCGCGTTCGTACTCGTCTTCGCTTGCGTGGGACCAGAAGGTCTCGTTGTTTGCGTGACTGGAATGGAAGACGAGATGAAAGTTTAATAAAACGCCAAGACAACTGTTCAGTAAAATACGAAATAAAACACATACGGAACACACCAGTATATTCACGCAACCCTTAGAGGCTACAACGCGACTCACGTGATGGAGTGAACAGCGATCTCGTGACCCAGACGGTGCATCTCCTGAGTGGCAGTGTAGTTGTTGTATTTGTGGGAAACGAAGAAGGTGGACTTGATGGAGCAGCCATTGGGGTTGAAGCGCTGCTTGAAGATGAGCTCGTACAGGTCCATGTTGTTGATGTTGATGGCATCGTCGAAAGTGATGGTGACCATCTGAGGCACTTCGGAAGGCTGCATGTTGTGAGGCATCTGCGTGTTGAAAGAGGGAGGGGAAGGGGGGGGGCGAGGAGGAAGAGGGACTATTAATAACAAGTAAAAAAAAAAACGAGTTAAACTGTAATTGTATCACAATAAAGTTTATCACTTATACGAAACATCGGTCTCATTTCGATAAACCCAACGTGCGGCCATGCAATACTAGAGAAGTTTTCAGTCACCTCGTTAGGGTCGTTGTAGCAGTAGCAATCGGGGAGGCGGCAATCCTCGATGTTGCAGATGGGGGCGCTGTTGGGGTCATTTTTCACGTCTATGGGGTATGACGTGTAGAAGTTAGAATAATTTCATTCTCATTCATGAAATTCTATAGCATGACTTTATATCATTACGTAACAAAATAAAATGAATATATGAATTATAAACAGAATGAAGTTCAATATATACAGAAAATGTTATTTACAATATAATGTTCTGGTTTTAAGGAAATGTCACTTATAGATATAGAATAGCAATCAGTGTGTGGAGTTGATGAAAATCTGTAACAGCAGATTAGCGTAGATATTCAAGTGTTCAGAATGGAAGCACATGCAAGTGGACGAATCATGCGTGCGAAAAAAAGTGCAGACATAGTGCAAGTAAACAGGAAGATTTCCAAACAAAGTACAAGCTCTCTCTCTTTCTCTCACTCACACATCACAGTCTCACTCTCACTCTCAAAAATGTGATTTCGTGCTTAAAAAAAAGTGAAGGACGAGGTGGGTGGGTGAGAGGGGGGGGAGGGAATGGAAATTCAATCTCTGCTTTACGGTGACTGAAGTAGAGTAACTGGATTCCGTGCAGTCACAGGCATCTAGAAGTTATTTAAGGAGTGCGTCATTTTCAGGCTGTGTGTGTGTGTGTGTGTGTGTGTGTGAAATTTCTATCCACGCACTTGCCATCTCCACAAGCTAACATGTCATTCTGGGGACAAGATGATCATGGGGGTTATTTACAATCTTTTTCTTTTTTTTCTTTTCCTTTTTTTTTGGAGGGGGGGGGGGGGGGGGGGGGGGGGGGGGGGGGGGGGGGGGGGGGGGGGGGGGGGGGGGGGGGGGGGGGGGGGGTGTTGGGGCTAGAGAATTCCTGGGAAGCTGGGGAGATTCAAGATATCGATGGAAAATAAAATGAATATATGAATTATAAACAGAATGAAGTTCAATATATACAGAAAATGTTATTTACAATATAATGTTCTGGTTTTAAGGAAACGTCACTTATAGATATGGAATAGCAATCAGTGTGTGGAGTTGATGAAAATCTGTAATAGCAGATTAGCGTAGATATTCAAGTGTTCAGAATGGAAGCACATGCAAGTGGACGAATCATGCGTGCGAAAAAAAGTGCAGACATAGTGCAAGTAAACAGGAAGATTTCGTGTGTGTGTGTGTGTGTGTGTGTGTGTGTGTGTGTGTGTGTGTGTGTGTGTGTGTGTGTGTGTGACTGTGTGTGTGTCCTTATCTTTATGTGAACATATATATGTATATGTGGATATGTATGTATATGTACATACATATATGTCAATATATATATACATATATATGTAAGTGTATATGTGTTTATGCATGTATTTGAGTGTGTGCGTGTGTACAACATTTCGACACCTTTTCTCTTTACTGATGCACAAGCGTTACTTTACGAAGGAGATATTTCACATACCGCAAAGGGTTTCGTCTGACTGATCATCACAGTCGTACTTTCCATCACAGAACAAATTTCTATCCACGCACTTGCCATCTCCACAAGCTAACATGTCATTCTGGGGACAAGATGATCATGGGGGTTATTTACAATCTTTTTCTTTTTTTTCTTTTCCTTTTTTTTGGAGGGGGGGGGTGTTGAGGCTAGAGAATTCCTGGGAAGCTGGGGAGATTCAAGATATCGATGGAAAATAAAATGAATAAATAAGAATAAAAATTCGGAAATAGAAGAGGTTAGGGTAGGGGGGGTGGTGTCCCTTCGTAGGCATGATGGTAGCGAAGGGGCAATGACATGACCAAACAAGGGAGGGGAAGGGAATAGGCTGCGTGCGATGGGATGACATGACTTTGACATGAAGCAAAGACAACAGCCCACCAACCGATCGTTTCGAGTCAAGGGCCTGACGTGAGTGAATTATGAGTGTGAGAATGGTGCCGCGCGTGAAAACAAAAAAAAAATGAAATGAGCGAGAAGAGGGGAACATATGAAAAAAAAAAATACTTGAAGTGAGCGAGAAGTGAGAGGGAAATCTGGAAGAAAATACACACAGCATACACACAGAGAACTGGGGACGGGTTGTGGAGGGGGGGGGGGTAAAGGCTGGGGGTAAAGAGCAAGTAATTTCCTCTGTAAGCTAGGGTTATGTGAGGTTAGTAAGACCAACCAAAGCCAACTGTCATCAAGTCAGCAGTGGTGATGAACTGGATACCCCACGAAGCAAGACGTTCATCCGTTTTATTGCATTCTCGCTAAATTCACTAAACCATATACTTACAAGACTGAATTGCAAGTCACTAAGCACGGGGTATGCAGCAAACAACACTTAAGTCACGGTCGGTAAGTACACATTACTGCTTTCTTTGTGTGAAATGCTAGTCAGTTCTTGTGCTTATTATTATTATTATTATTTTTTTTTTTTTGATAGCTAAAAAAATATACTTGTGTATTTCCTATCCTCATACTGGGGGAGGGAAATGGAATGGCCGATATACTGATGTTGTGGCCAAGTGAGAAAGTGGGTTACTGTGCCATGAGAGAGCATCGCCGCGAGATGAACGTCTTTCAGTAGAGAGAACCTGAGCAGTGGGGTGACGTGGGGAGTCGGGGGGGGGGGGGGTCGGAATGTCCGTTGTTTTGGGGGTTAAGCAGTGAGAAAATAAGTAGAGAAATGGGGGGAGGGGAAGTTGGGTATGAGGCGCTTCACACTGCACATCCGCATGGGTACGTACCACATGCGGTCTCGTCAGAACCATCGGTACAATCTTCTTTTCCATCACAGAAGACCTGCCTATCCAGACAGGTGCCGTCACCGCACGCCAACTGGTTTTCCTGTAATTAAGCCATTGACCCTCGTCAGCGTGTGTAGGTGGACCCATACTACTAAGTGGCTCTCATGGCCGCTTGCTCAGGGAAGGCCCAGATCTACTCCAAACTACGGTCGTTGCTCTGTCGATCAGTGGAGGTCTGTAGCTGGATCCGGACGAAGGACGCTCCAGTGCGCAAAAAAGTTGAAGGAAAATAATGCATCCCTAGGCACGCTAAGGAGCAATAATGGAGATCTACGAATAATTTAGTAGAAGAAAACAGAGGTTTGGAAAAGGAAAGAGTCTGGAGGATGTCCTTGTATCCAGCATCGACCTTAGTCTTTACTACTCTGAGGGCGACACTCCTCTACGTCACAGGGTGACGCCCTCACTGCGCTCCGCTGTGCCTTTGTCTTTAGAGGTTTACACCCTCAAAGGCCGAAGGCGAGCGGCGTCTCGTTTTGCTAAATCGTCTCTTTCAAAGCTCAAATGGATCATTTCGATGTTTTCACGAAAGAAAATCTCTCTGAAAGTGAACCAAATCGCTAGGAGAAGCCAGCCCTTACGGGCGTTACTCATGGTAATCTCGCTTTTAAGAAAAAAAAAAGTTCGTGAAAACATCGAGCTTGATCTGGGGTTATGAGACTGGTGTTCTAATGCGCTTGGTGTAATGGTCGTATATCCAACGCGTGAAGCTTGTGGTGGTGGTGTTGAGGGGCTGCATGTGTGGAGCGGACCTGTTCAATCGCTCTCGTGTGAACGTACCACAGGCGTTCTCGTCGGACGCGTCCTTACAGTCGGGTTTACCATCGCAGAAGAAGTTGCGGTCAATGCACTCGCCATCGCCGCAAGCTAGTTGGCTCTCCTGGGATCATGAGACAGAACGGGTAACGCGGTGAACTTCACTTACAATCGTTTCCTGGCGCTCCTCTGAGCCTGCCTGGGAATCGCTATAAATCACCTGGTCTCGCTGTTTTGACGGGCTGCTGACGTTTCCGTTGACAAAGACAGCGACGGGTGACTTATATCGATTTGGATAAGGCCAGATTTAGCACGACAGGGACGCCTTGCAGTGAGTCTGCCACCACGCCGGCTTCCACACACACATACACAGACATGCAGCCTTATTCTCACACGCTTTACTTTGCTGACGACCTTACGCCTCTTAGATCGGTCGGCACTTCTTGCAGAATAAAGTTGGTGCGCCGTTGTCTTCTGTTCTTCCCTTTCTGGGATTACCATCGGCTATGTTCCAACACCACATCCTCGACGTACCGTTACATTAAACAAATATATGTAAAGAATGTCTCAGATATCAATATATCAACAATTATAGCCACAGAGATGAAAAAAAAGCCACGCTGGATTACCTGGCAGAGGGGTTCGACGGTGTTGAAGAGAGGTTTCACGACCTTCGTCTTCTCTTTCCTGTCGCAGTTATTGACGTTGGCTTTCCAGTCGCAGGTCTGCTGGTCCAGGTTGAAGGCCAGACCGTGGGGGCAACGCAGCGCCTGAAGACCCTGCAGGAGGATAGAAGGAGAGGACCGTTGAGTGGGAGTTGCGACAGAGGAGGATGTGAATACATGGCTAGCACTTAATTTGAGGATTAATGCTCGTTCCATCTTTCGCACTGAGAAGGTATGGCTTTGACCCTCCCCCCATTCCTTAGCTATTAGCAAAACAAACAAAAACGACACAATAAAGGAATCTCAACTAAAATCCAAACAACCAAAGAAATAAAACGAGAACTGAGTCGAGAACAGAGAACAATATACAAAGGTAAATAACACACTCTTCCGAACTTACAGACAATGACCCCCAAGCGCTGTGTGCGTGTGAATGTGTATAACCTCAAATCACACACACAGGAATAAGTAATATCTATGAAAAGAACGATAATCGTGCTTGTTATTGGCACGTTCACCCACGGTTGTGACACCAGAGTGACGTCGAGGACACCAAGATCGGTAACGTCACGGGTCCGTCTCGAATCGACTTTCTATGCTTCTTACAGAGAAATTCTAAGGAAATCTTGTACACACGTAAGTAAATCAAACAGTTTTACGATTCATATATTTTAAAAAAATGTTTGATAGAAAGGAAACTAGTGAATGCAATGTGATCAGAGACGGTGTTAGCATAATTGCAAAACCCGAGTGACAAGAGCATTTTGGCGACTGAGAATAAGGCAAGCCGGTTTGCTCTTGCCGGAGTGTCCCTTCGCATCCCAAAGGCTACCTGCTCTCTCGTGAGGCTGTTGTTGTTGTTTGTTACTGTTCTTGTAATTGTGTGTATGTGTGTGTGTGTGTGTGTGTGTGTGTGTGTGTGTGTGTGTGTGTGTGTGTGTGTGTGTGTGTGTGTCGACAGTGTAGGACTCTATATTTCAGTCTATCACAATTCCTTCTATTGGTTTTCGCAGATCCCCAGATTTTCCTTCACGCATTGATAATTCTAAAGTAAGAAGAAGAAAAAAATATATAAATGATGACTGACAAGAAAGTAACGGAGTCTTGCTTTCAAATATAGTTTTTTTTGTCTCTCTCTCTGCAAATCCGAAGGGACCTCGAGGTGCGTGCGAGACGGCGTCCAGAGCAATTGGGGCGACTTTCCCGAGCTTCACAATGAGAGAATCGACCGTAAGCATAAGAAAAGTGGGACGACGATCGTGCATTAACACCTCGGTCAGTGCACGCATTGCAGTCTGCAACTTCACATGCATCACAATATTTCCTTTTCCTTTCCTTTCATTTTTTAAGGGAAATCTACGTTTCTTTAGGGAATCTGAATTGTTTGAGAGGAATGATCGATACTGGATGTTTAGCCTAAAACTACAAAACAGAATTTCTAAACTCAGAGAGAAGGAAATTAAATAAAATGTCTAAGCTCAAAAAGAAATAAAGAGAATATAATTTCTAATCTCAGAAAGAAAGCAAAGTCATAATAATATCCAGCAACTGTTACACAGATGGTGTTTATTGTAAAGTGAACAAAATTTCGCATGGATTACATAACCATCTGTCACCGCTTAGCCTTCACCGTCACTGTCATCATTGGTTTAAGACTTTCAGCTTGATTTATTCCATTGTCTTTGTGCTTTGCAAAAAAAAAAAGAAAAAAAAATATGTTACGTAACAATATTTTTTCTATTAAGTTTCAATGATTTCCTTAGACATTAGTCATAAGAAATCGCCACGTACACACATACACACACACACACACACACACACACACACACACACACACACACACACACACACACACACACACACACACACATACACACACACACACACACACACACACACACACACACACACACACACACACACACACACACACACACACACACACACACACACACACACACACACGCTCACGCCTTCACTCCCAAACAGCAGTCCATAAACTTTCACAAGCTTAGTGTTCCACAAAAGCCACGTGAAGCCGAGCACCTGTTATAAATACGTTTTGTCTTGTGGTGCCAGGTTGTCGATGGCACATGACAGGAGAGAGTTTCCTATTCCAAATCTCTTTTCTGGTGGCTAATTTCTGGTGAATGTGGAGTTAGGGACGTATTTATGATACCGGAATGTATTGATAAGTGGACTTGAGGTAAAGTATATGTTGGGAAGAATGACCGATACGCGTTATATTAAGTGAATGAAGTTTTAAGATAAATTGGATAGTATGAAGAGGGGAAGATATTGTAAGACGAGTGAAAGGGAAGATACGAGAAGAGAATAATATGAAGAGAAAGGGAGGAGAGATAACGGGAAAGCCAGATGAAAGGGAGGGGGGGTGATGCTGGGGTGGATGGGGGAGGGGGAGGAGGCAGAGGTAGAGGGTTGGAGGAGGGATGGGAGAGAGGATGAAGACGGGGAGATAGAGGGAAAGGAGAAGGGGGAAAGAAGAGGTAGAAGGGTGGAAGAGGGAAGAGAGAATAGAGAGAAAGAATAGGTGGAGAGTTGAAGGAGGGAAGTTAAAAGGAGGAAAATGATAGCTAGAGAAGTAGAGGAAGGAAGGAGAAACGAGAGATAAACGGGTGGAGAAAGAAAGGGGAAAATAATAACTAGAGAGGTGGAGGAGAGTAAGGAGAAGGAGGGGAAATAAGAGATAAAAAGGTGGAGAAAGAAAAAGGGATGATGAAGACGTGGAGATAGCCAGAAGTGGAAGTGGCGGAAAAAGAAAAAAAAAGTGGAGGGGTGAATGAATGAAAGGGAGAAAGGAGAGGGTAGAGAGGTGGATAAAAGAAGGAAAGAGGAAGACAGAGAGATAGAAGGACGGTGACCTCATCAACTGTTGAACGAGTCAACCTTGACTGACTCACGCACACCGTTACACCATGGGCACCCTCCCCCTCCCCCCTCCCCCCCACCCCATCCCCTGCGTCCCTCCCTTCCGTCTATGGCAATTTCTCTGTCCGTAAGATTACTTTCATCAGTTTTTTAAATGGTTAAATGGTATGTTTTGTGTGCCTTCGCCATTGTTATTGTGTGTGTGTGTGTCTGTGTGTGTGTGAAGGTAGGTAGGTAGGCAGGTAGGTAGGTAGGTAGGTAGGTAGGTAGGTAGGTAGGTAGGTAAGTAGGTAAGTAGGTATCCAGACATGTGATGTGTTGATGCATGTAGGAGTGTGAATGTAGGTATATATATGTATGTATGTATATATATATATATATATATATATATATATATATATATATATATATATATATATATATGCATTATATGTATGTATATGTATGTATGTATGTATGTATTGATGGATGCATGCATGTATATGTATGTATGTCTGTATGTCTGTCTGTCTGTCTGTATGTATGTATGTATGTATGTATGTATGTATGTATGTATGTATGTATGTATGTATGTATGTATGTATGTATGTATGTGTGTATGTATGTATGTATGAATGATGTATGTTATCGTCTCAAAACAAACTGATAAAAAGGACGATTATATCCGAGTCGTTAAGAAATTGCACAAAGATGCAAGGAATGACGTTGACAGTGCGCGCAACTGTGCAATAAACGTGCATGGCAGTATTTGCAAGTGTTGTAACATCAAGAATCCCGTTAGCACGTAACTCGTCGGTGAAGGTGCGGGCGTCCCGATGCGAGTTAAGGCAACGTAGGTTCCAGTAGGCTCCCCCCTCCCTCCCCCACCAGTCCCCTCCCCCACCCCCCCACCTTCGGGAGAAAGTAGTGGACCCAGAGCAAGATAGGTTACGACACCTTCAACTCTGTTATTTCGGCTTCACCCGCGCGGCCTTTGAAACCGTGTCGCGTGTGTCGTCTGCCACCTCTTGAGAACCGCCCGCGCTGAGCCGCCTAACGGTAAACCAGGCCCTGGCCCCGCGCCCGCCCTTTTCCCCGCTCTTTATATATATATATATATGTGTGTGTGTGTGTGTGTGTGTGTGTGTCTGTGTGTGTATGTGTGTGTGTGTGTGTGTGTGTGTATGTGTGTGTGTGTGTTTGTATCTATCTAGGTATGGATGGATGTATATAAAAGCATTAAATACAGACAGAGTGACACACACACAAACATACACAGATACACACACACACACACACACACACACACACACACACACACACACACACACACACACACACATATATATATATATATATATATATATATATATATATATATATATATATATACATGCAACTCTCATAAACCTTACAACCCCCAATTCATCCTCCTCTTTCCTCCTTTCCCCTTTCCTTCCTCCTTCCCTCCCCTATCCCTTCCTCCTTCCTCCTTCCCTCCCGCCCCTCCCCCGCTCCGCCAGCAGACCTTGAGCGGCGAGGGAGGGAAAGTTGTCTCGACGAGCGCGCCCCCGAGAGAGACCTGTGATTTCCCGCCGGGTTTGCGGTCGACTGAGGTTTCCTTTCCGCTGGGCGTCTTCGGCAGGAGTTCGGCTGAGAGTTGCAATCGTGGCTTTTCGTTGTGTGAAGAGAGGTATGATTTGTGTGTACATGCATATGTATGTAGAAGTGTATGTGTGTGTGTGTGTGTGTGTGTGGGTTGTGTGTGTGTTAGTGAGTAAGTGCGTGAGTGAGTGAGTGAGTGGGTGGGTGGGTGAGTGAGTGAGTGAGTGAGTGAGTGAGTGAGTGAGTGAGTGAGTGAGTGAGTGAGTGAGTGAGCGAGTGAGTGAATGAGTGAGTGAGTGTTTCTATATATGTATCTATGCATGTATAGTCACAGAGATAAATGTATCAATAGACAGAAATCCTATCAATTTTACACCTAACTCTAAGTCATATCCTATTTCTCTCTCGATTTTGACCACGAATCACCCTTAACATCCCTCCTGCTGCTTCAGACTCAAGAAAACGAAGTAACTCGAAACGCAAAAAGGGAAAAAAGTCGCCTCAAATAAGCGACCAACATCAACGTATTACGACCCCACACTCAGACACCGGCCAAAGGAACGTAAAACTTTAAAAGACCGGAATTTTTAAAGCCAGTCCTCAGCGCCCACACGGTCCGCCTTGCTTACGAGCCCCACACCCTAGTTACACTCCTCAACCCCACGCCCTTTTAAGTCCTCTAATTCAACCCTCGCCTTTTTTTAACACTTTTAAACCTTCTAAGGCTAACCCTAACCCCTTATCCCCCCTTCCAGTACCTCTAACCCTTCTAACCCCCTCCTAACCCTCCCCAAAGGCCCGGCCCCCCTGACAACCGGCCGCCGAGAGGACGCAGAAGTGAGCGGTGTATCTGATATATGCAAGTGACCTTTGGTAAAAAACCGGACGGACAGGACGCTGTGGCAAGAAACGGGCTTGCGTTTAGGGGGGTGGGGGTTGTGTGGGGGTGTGGGGGGGTAAATAAGACAATGGTGGGTGGTAGAGGTGTGGGGAAGGGAGGTGGAGAAGTGGGGAGGTTCTTAGAAGCGAGTGGAGGTGGGGTGAAGATTCGTAGGTGAGGTGGATTTAAGCTTGAGTGTAAAGGGGAGGGTTGGGGGGGTGGGGGGTTGGAAGCGATGTCTGACATGTGTTTCTTTTTAATCTAATTAATTTCTTCTTCCTCGTTTTTCTTATAATTCATCTCTAAAATGGAAGCAATGGCTCGTTTGCGGTAACGTACAAGATTGCAATTACAAGGAAGGCAAGATTTAACTATCATTATGATTAGCACCGATGCCTTTAACATACCGATCACTACCATGAGCTAGCACTATGATGCCCAGAAGAAAATAACAAAAAAGCAGAAAAAATCCTATACTATAATTTTCCCTCAAAAAAATCCCGTACCTAGCCAATCCTTCTCAAGCAAAAAAAAAAAACATAAAAAAACACGCAAACAAAGATCTCACAACTAAAGCAAAACAATTTAAAAAACAATCAAAAAACACAAACAAAAACAAGAAGAGCAGAAAACAAAAAACAAAAAAAAATCATTCACACAAAATCACAACCAAAAAACAACAACAACAAGAAAAACTTACGGCATCAGTGCACTGGATCACATCGCGACAGTCACCCAGGCTGAGACGGAACCACTCTCCGGCGCCCTTGTCCTTGCAAAGCTCCCTCTTGAAGGCTTCGCTCTCATCCTCGGTCGTGTCTGAAACTGCCTGCCTCTTAACCCGCTCGGCAGCAGCTGTTTGGGCGAAAGGGAGGGAAAGGAAAGGGGGGAGATGAGTCAATGGATGGTAGAAGAGGGAACAGAGAAAAAAATGAATAAATAAACATGAACTATTCGTTGGTGGTTGAATAAAGGGGAAATATCTGAGAAATTTATTTTTTTTATGTTGGTAAAACTAATTGGATTCCCAACAGTGAAAAAAAAGAATAAATGTAAAGGTAAAATGATGAATTCTTTAATCGATCGTAATTTTTTCTCCAATATTCACATCAGTATCTAAAGAGAGAACAGAAAAATAGTATACTAAATTTTCCAATTCCATGAATTTTCGAAAAGTCGCAAGTGATTCTGACGTGAAAAAAGTCTCTATCTATCCTGCGTCTCTTTTTGAGCGCCAGCTTTCGAGTTTCGTTTCTTCATTACTGAACGAACTTGTATCTCTCCGAAGACCATATATATCTATCCTTATCGATTTCCAAGCGCTTAATCAAATCTCGACGTCTTCAAAAAAGTGAATGTGCTCGAGAGTGAGCTCCTATGAAAAAAAGAGAATGGCAGAAAAAGAAATTATTTACAATGCTTCTTTCGCTCGCAGGAGATTGTAGCAAGAAATCCCCAGCTTAGAAAGTAGACGTCGACATAGGGTTTAGCGCGCCCTCCTTCCCCTCCCTCCCTCCCTCCCCACCTCCCCCCCTTTCTGCGCCCCCGTTTCTGCACCCCCTCCACCCCCCACCCCTCGAACTGAAGGGAAATTTTCACTCTGGAAATTTCCACAGCTGGACTATCTCTATCGCTCCTCCGGGCCCATTTCTTCTCTTACAAAAACGAAATTATATATTCATTTACGAGCGTTTTGAAACCACCGATCTTCTAGTAAAAGCTTATTTAAATTTAATTCAATTCATGAACAACTTCTTGAATTACTGTCGCGTAGGGGCGTGGGCAGGGGAGAGGGGGAGGGGATGGAGGGGGGGAACGGAACCGAGGGGAGGGGGGGTAGGGGTGTTGCGGGAAAGTGGGTCGGGGAACTAAAGAGTGAGAGTGAGGGGGCGCCGGAGACTCTTAAGAACATGCGAAGAAGGTTTCGGAGAAATTATGAAAGATGGTCGACACCTCTTACAAAACGTGTACGGAAACTTGGTCATTTTTGTCCCTCCGGCTTTCGATTTCGCGCTCCCCCCCCCCTTCTCTCCCTCTATCTATCTATCTCTCGGTCTTCAAGAAACATATAAACAAGTTTTAATCTCCAACGTATGCAGAAAACCAGGTACTAAGACCTCTACTTCCGCTGAGAAAGAACGTTGGACTTAAACTTTCGGAATCTCTACACTCATCCTAGTGGTACGTTAATGATTTATTCTTGAAAAGTAACTCTGCCGTTAAAACCACTAAACTTGAAAAGAAAAAAAAAAAACTCGAGGAAAGAGATATCTTTGAATACTACGTATGAATTTGGTCTCGAAAAATAACAGAAATTTTGGTCTCAGAAACTGAATTTTGGTCTCAGACACTAAATTTCGGTCTCAGAAACTGAATTTTGGTCTCAGAAACTAAATTTTGGTCTCAGACACTAAATTTTGGTCTCAGAAACACCAATGTTTTTGTCTCAGAAACAATTCAAGCTGCTTTATCCACCGGGTGATTTCAACTCTACAAAAGAAGTTATCTCCCTCCCTTTCTCTCTCTCTCTCTCTCTTTCCTCGGGTTTTTCTACTTCCCCCATTTGCTCTTTCTCTTCAATTCGCCTGATACTGACGCCTTAGGAATCACTTGTCTCCGGCACGTCCGTCTCAAGAGAACCTCCCTAAAAGAACCCATGAAGCGAAAAGTCCGTCGTGGTTTTCACTCTCTCTCAGCCCCATCGGACGGCGACACTCAGCATGCAAGAAAAACGTCTTCCATTATTTTAGCAACGGCGACACTTTCTTCTCGTCTCGCAACTGAAGAGAATCTTTTCGTATTCACTTGCGACTTCAGAACATGGGGAACGGGCAAAAAAAGGGGAAGTGGTGGGGGGAGCACTTAAAACAGCACTTTCGTGGAGGAGGTCCCCCACATGACATGATCCACACATTATACATTCTAGGAGAGATATCTGCCACTGATCTCCGTGAAGAGGTTTTGTATCACTACTTACCAATGCCAAGGAGGGCAAGAGCAACTACCGCAACTCTTACTCTTGTCATGTTAACGCTCAGCCCAGACCGTTCACTGAGCCGCGATCGCGCCGCGCCTCCCTTATATACCCGCGACACACCGCTCTCCCGGCCCCCTTCCCCTCCCCCAGCCCGCGCCCAGGACAACAATTGCCTGCCGCAGGATAACACGGAGGATTGTTGCCGCCGACGGGACACGGCTAGCTCGATGCGGATGTACAAAAGAGCCAGTCAAAATCGGTGAAAATAGCTCTTCATTTCAAATATAAACTGTAGTTATATTTTTCTTCTTTTTTTTTTTTTTTAGATCCTCTCCCTGTCAGGCGCCATTTTCTGTTATCCGACGCTTCGTGACAAAGAAAAATAATTAGCATTGGCAAGAAATGATCCCACGAATGAC